TGACGGGGAGGTGTCGATGTCTCGGACCAACGACCAATAGGGTTCGCGTGAAGTGCAGATTAGAGGACGGGTAATTATTATGCTCATGAAATTACTTTATAATGTGGGGATTTTAAATGCTTGTTTTTCCCGTGTTTACGTGTTTTACGTGCTTTTTACCTTTTTTTTACGTGTTTTTTACCGTATTTTCCGCATTTTTTTTATTTTACGTGCTTTTTGTCGGTGCCTTTTTCGTATTTTACGTGATTTTTTTCCCCTTTTTTGGTATTTGGCGTGCTTTTTTCGCGTTTTTTTTTCTGATAGTGATTTCTGAATAGTTATTGATAATAGCACGACTCAGGTCCATAGAGGAGATACCCCTTGGGATGGTTGTATTGAAGTCTGGTGAAAATGATGATTGGGCAGATGATGCGGAGTGAGTGTATTTTAAAGTAAATTTGCTATCGATTGACTCAGATGGTATGGCGCTGAGCAAAGCTGGTACGATGCACCCGCTGGCAGTGCTCAGGCTCAGAGGTATGCAAAATGACATTGGTTTCTTTATGGTTTTTTAGTGAGACTAGTTGACATTTTTATAGCATCGTTTATAGTGCTGCTGAATTTAATATTGGAGTTTCACAACTACCCGTTTTACGTGAAGTGGTGTAAAACTCGGTGAAAAACGCGGTGATATGCAGTAGTCGTGAAATATGTTTTACACTAGTGTTTTTTGCATATCACTAGGGTGGTGAAACTACAAATGAATTATATAATATTATGAATGAAGTGATTGCAGTTATTTCGCATTTACATTCTTTCCAAAATAACTTTTTTGCACCGAAAAGTTTGGTTTTTTTACTCATTTGGTTAATTTTTCGCCACCTTCGTTGATACTTTACCTATGGTTTTGGTAAAATACCAAGAATAGGATGTACATCAGCGTCATCGCTGCGCGCGTCCTTGGTTAAATTTAAGTCCTGAACTTTCGAATACATCGGGAATACCATAAATTTCGTTGATACTCTATTAAGAAAATTGACAAAATAAGTGGAAAAATGAAACTTTTCGGTAAAAAAATATTTTTTTTGGAAATGCTGTAGTGTGATCGACAGTGTGGGAATTTACGCACTTGGTAACAATAAGGAAATTTCGTTGTTTTTTTGTATATTTTTACCCCCAAAAATTGTGATTTTCATAATGTAGTGAGGAAGCTTACGAGCTCAGTTGAGGAGAGAAAACATATTTTCCCCAACTCGTTAACGAAGTCTATATAGTTTTCCATTCAGTTGGGAAGAAGGCGCTGAGGGCGGTGCGTGGACTGATGCTGCAGAGGCTGTCAAGGACGAGAGTAAAGTAATGTTGGAGTGTGTGTTGGGAAAAGGTTTAAATCGTTTTAACAGACAACGGTCGATTTAACCCATCGTAAAACGGCGGGTAATTTTGACGATGAGGCGTATAAGGGTATGAATGCATTGGACATTTATAATCAACGACGGCGTGATAAGGTAGGCAGTTGGGACAGTGTGAAAATATATGTTTGCTTTCCTGCTCACTATTTTGAGTAGAAATTTACGATAATTTTTCTCTCTGTAACTTTTTCCGGAATTTCCATATGCGTTGTTGATCTTGCCAGGCGAGTGTATCGGCTACTAGTGGTAAAGGGTATTGTCGTCCTGTACAAGGCTATAGGAATGCTCTTTCACGACCACATGTGGAATCGGGTGAGTAGTATATATGAGGACAGGGATATGCACGCT